CCCAAGAAAAACTCTTCCCTTACCATGCTTTATAATGTGCCTTTTTTTTGTCAGTGAGCCCCTGCCCTTTTAATGTCCTCTGCAAGTTACTGATTTGTAACTAATTTTTAGTACAAGTTGTTGTAAAAACAACTGAGAATTCAGTTTAGTGTTTAGTTTAAAATCTGTATCAAGAAGCAACTAGGGATGATATAGATCCCCCTCTATCATTAATAAAAAATACTTAGAAACAAAGCACCCCTTTCTTATACAGAACTTCTGGCAGTAACTTTGTTTTATCGAGTAAAAAAAACAAAAAACTAATTATAGAGTGCAGTCTATATAACAAAGATTTTCCGTAGACGTACTTCAGTCAACACATTCGTTGACTGTTAGGCAGACGCTTTTAGAGTGGATAATGAAAATCTATCGTGTATGAAAGACGGTTTTCTGTCACTCCTGAAAATCAGGGCTTGTTTGATAACAAATAGCTACGTTTGCCGAGAGTGGTTTTACCAAAACTGACTTAGTAAATATTTACTAAAGAGGTGGTTGCTCGAATCTCATAACAAGTTCCCGGACTCTGTACAGCAATCATTCATTTCATCTAAACTTCAGAGCCCAAAAAATTAATGTTAGATATCGTACACAAGAGGTTTAGTTTGTGGACACAAACGTTCGAAATGTGTGTGCTCAAAGATTAAACTTATAACATTAAACAAGGCGTTGTCTATAAAACACCAGCCACTGTTTTTCTTTCGTCCCTTCTGAAAGCGAATCTATTGCCCCTTTCTTATAGGTTCTCTATATTTCCGTCGCCCCTTTCTTATAGGTTCTCTAGCTTTCCATTGCCTCTTTCTTATAGGTTCTCTATCTTTCCGTTGCCCCTTTCTTATAGGTTCTCTAGCTTTCCATTGCTCCTTTCTTATAAGTTCTCTATCTTTCTGTTGCCCCTTTCTTATAGGTTCTCTATCTTTCCATTGCCCCTTTCTTATAGGTTTTCTATCTTTCTATTGCCCCTTTCTTATAGGTTCTCTATCTTTCCATTGCCTCTTTCTTATAGGTTCTCTAGCTTTCTATTGCCCCTTTCTTATAGGTTTTCTACCTTTCCATTGCCCCGTTTTTATAGGTTCTCTACCTTTATTGCTATTCACCTTTCTTATTTTACTTTACGAAATATAAAACTCTTGGTATGATCCATTTTTAAAGATTGTTGATAATGATACGCAGTTCATGTAGGATTTAACGATACAGCTGTAGTTTCTTCGAAACAATTCGTGTTATTTTTCATATGTTTATAAATGATAGTTATGCTTTAATGTTTACCGTCAAAATTAAATAAAATAACATAAAAAAAGACAATAGTAATAATATTTCAGAAAGCCGTCCTCCACCCTTTAAATAATCTATTTATAAAATGATAAAATCTTTATGATATAAATGGATTGGATCGTATGCAAGTAAAACAGAAATGTATTGAAGAAAAGGCATTCTGGGCCAAATAAAAACTTGCACATCTTATAAAGGACAATATGTCTTTAGGCTAGAAAGTAAAAATATAAGTAAAAGCTTTATGTGCCCGCTAAACGTTTGATTTTGGGTAATTGTCATGGTAGCGCTATAACCTTATTTCAGGAATATAGGACAAAATAAAAATGCACTTCTAAATTTTAAAACAATTTGGAGAGATACACACTCTCCAGATCAAACGCTTTAAAGGAGCATTTGGTACTCGGGCATTTCATCCATCCACCCCACCCCCAATACTAAAAAGTATATAACTCAAATGTTATTTAAAATGAACTAAAAAAACAAATGGCGTTTCATTGAATGAACTCCCTGAGGAATGCTGAATTACCTGTGTGAAACGTCGTGTCCTTGTATTAGTTACTCACTTAGGAATGCTGAATTAACTGTGTAAAACGTCGTGTCCTTGTACTAGTTATTCACTCGGGAATGCTGAATTAACTGTAAAACGTCGTGTCCTTATACTAGTTATTCACTCAGGAATGCTGAATTAACTGTGCAAAACGTCGTGTCCTTGTACTAGTTATTCACTCGGGAATGCTGAATTAACTGTGTGAAACGTCGTGTTCTTGTATTAGTTACTCACTCAGGAATGCTGAATTAACTGTGCGAAACGTCGTGTCCTTGTATTAGTTACTCACTCAGGAATGCTGAATTAACTGTGTGAAACGTCGTGTCCTTGTATTAGTTACTCACTCAGGAATGCTGAATTAACTGTGTGAAACGTCCTGTCCTTGTACTAGATTTATATCTTCTAAAAACTGAGTTAAATGTCACTTAATTTGATTGAGTAAGATCTTTTTTGTTACTGAACGCTGCTCTTTTAGCTGTGGTATCGTTATAAGAGTGATTCTATTTGGTTATTTGCTCAAAATTAGGGATAGCTATACCCGAATTCTAGGTTTCTAACCTAGCCGCTAAGCCCATGTAAACATAAGGTGTCATCCGGGTTGAAAAGTCCAATTCCGTGGCATTAGACCATGTGGCGTAGCGATTTTCCAGTTACGCTTTCAAAGAAGAACGTTTGCAGTGTAGACAGAAATACTTTTTATCCGCCTTCCAGACATGACATTTGAGGCTACTAATTTGAAGTTTCTAAACTGAGTGCATTTTAGACAAATGACAGAAAAAAACATAATTACTCTTTAGAGCTTTTTTATTCATTGTCAGACATCTATTTTATAGACATCTTCTATCGATTTCTTTTCTCACTGAATTTTGCATTAATTTTGTTTTTTATAAGTCAATAGAGGGCTCTAGTAAGATGAGAAACCTGACATACGTAGAGATTAGCTGTTATCATAATGGGCTGTTCTTTGCTGGTAGCAGTTGATGATCGGAGTAAGATTTCTCTTCAATTTGCATAAACACAAAGTATTAATCTACCTAATGATGAAAAACCTTTCCAATTTCTTTCATCATTCGCTTCAGTCCGTGTTCTATAGTGACTTGAAGTTATTTGGCTAATGTACTGCTACTCGAGAAACTGAGAGAGGAAAGGGTAGTTGTGATTAGTTTTCTCGACTTTCAATATTTTTCAAGCTCCATTTTTTTGGCGCTATTTGAGGAGCTGAACTCTTCATTTCCTTGGTCTCTTCTGTTAGTAAGTTATTACATGTTTGTTTGTTCCTTCGTTTAAATTATGTTCTTTTATCATTTTTCCTATTTATGTATTTGAAACGTTAGAGGTTTAAATAGAAATATATAAATTTACTATTTAGACATCAGGTTGATGAGAAGAGATAGCTTAACGCATGCTAAATCAATACTGATTTTAATATTTTCTTAACCAAATTATGACGTTGGGGGAGACGAGTTGTTTAACAATGAATATATTGCATCTTCCCCTAATTTCTGTTGATGTAAACTGTTTAAGCGAGAAAACTTCCCCTCATTTCTGTCGATGCAAACTGTTTAACCGAGAAAACTTCCCCTCATTTCTGTTGATGCAAACTGTTTAACCGAGAAAACTTCCCCTCATTTCTGTCGATGTAAACTGTTTAACTGAGAAAACTTCCCCTCATTTCTGTCGATGTAAACTGTTTAACCGAGAAAACTTCCCCGCATTTCTGTTGATGTAAACTGTTTAACCGAGAAAACTTCCCCGCATTTCTGTTGATGTAAACTGTTTAACCGAGAAA